GACCCTTATTAAGGGTTTCTCTCTTTTCTAGAATAATAGATTCCCTCCATGGCTCCTCCTGGGTAGAGGAACCTTGGTCTTAGATTTCAATCTAGAAGTAGGTCCCGTTCAATAATGGACCTTTCGCTGACTGGCCCATCTTCTTCTCCTTCGTACCTTGCTGTATTATATTATGTAAGTCTTACCATTGATTTGTCGCTTCCCTTTATTATTGTTGTACAAGTGAATCATTGTCGCGCCGCATTGCATCTGTATCTGCCTCTTGATCTTGAATCAATTCAAATAAAACACCACTACCTATTCAACACATATTTCCTGCAGGACCTGCTTGTGCGTGTGTGGGACCAGATTCTAATGCAATGAATGGCAGGCTCAACTACGGAGTACAATGACAGGCACAACTACGGAATTCAAAGATAGGCACAACTATAGAGAGGTCCTCCGGTGAACCCGTCGTTCACCGTCAAAACAAAGCAACATTCGCGATCAAGCTCGAGTACAACTGCAAAATCACTTTTTATAATTACACCCTCGAGTTCTGAAAGCACTCAAAGTCCCTCGACCTCACCCACGCTTCATATTTCTGTGCGCGACAGCACCTACACCGAGAACGATCGAGTTGCTATAATCAGCGAGAATATGGAGAAAGCGACTATCAATGGCTCGAGCAATGGTTCGAGTACTGGTGAAAGGAAGGCTCCTTTGACTAGGAAAGAATCTTCTCCTATGATGCCACCGTTTATGGTATCAGCTCCAGGAAAGGTTATTGTGTTTGGAGAGCACGCCGTCGTGCATGGAAAGGTGGGTGCCTTTGCTCTAGATATGCTATTTAAAAACTAACAGTAGAGATAGCCTGCGATTGCTGCCGCGATTTCACTTCGATCATATCTTCTCGTTACAGCCCTTTCAAAATCGAAGCGCACAATCTCCCTTCGTTTTCCCGACATTAATCTCTCACATACATGGAATATCGATGACCTGCCGTGGAGCACCTTCTCGCACCCGTCGAAGAAGAAGCACTATTATGATCAGGTCACATCTTTAGATCCCGAATTGGTCGCAGCCATGAAACCACATCTTGAGAACATTTCTCCTGAGGTATCACCCGCCATACGAAAGATACACCAGAGCTCTGCCTCGTCATTTTTATACATATTTTTATCACTCGGCTCACAATCATTCCCGGGCTGTTTATATACGCTTCGCTCAACAATTCCAATTGGTGCAGGTCTTGGTAGTAGTGCCTCGATATCTGTCTGTCTTTCGTCCGCACTTTTGTTGCAGATTCGCACATTATCTGGACCACATCCGGATCAACCATCCAATGAGGCAAGCTTACAACTTGAGAGAATCAACCGTTGGGCATTTGTGGGAGAAATGTGCATACATGGAAATCCCTCTGGGGTCGATAACACAGTTTCAACGCAAGGAAAGGCTGTGATCTATCAAAGATCTCCCGATGGACCTACTGTGAAGTCATTGAGGAATTTCCCAGAACTCCCTCTACTGCTTGTAGACACACAGCAGGCAAAATCTACAGCTCATGAGGTTGCTAAAGTGGGTTTGTTGAAGCAGAAGCACCCAGCTATTGTAGATTCGATATTGAATGCTATTGACATGGTTGGTCAATCAGCCGCGGCCATGAGTTCAGATCCAGAGTACGATAGCAAGGATCTTGAGTGCGTTGAGAGCCTGGGAAAATTGATGACAGTCAACCATGGACTTCTAGTTTCTTTGGGAGTATCTCACCCTCGTCTGGAACGCATCCGGGAACTTGTCGATCATGAAGGAATTGGCTGGACTAAGCTTACCGGTGCTGGAGGGGGAGGGTGTTCTATTACACTACTGAAGCCGGATACTACACATGAGAGAATGGCACGCTTGGAGGAAACATTGGAGACTGAAGGTTACAAAAAATTTGAGACTACACTAGGTTGTGATGGAGTGGGTGTTTTATGGCCCGCAGTGATCAAGAACGGAGAAGATGATGATTTTGGGGGAGATGAAATCGACCAAGAAAAATTTCTCAACGCTGATGGGATAGAAGGAGTTGAAGAATTGGTTGGAGTTCATGGACAAAGTGGTGATAGGGAAGCATGGAAGTTTTGGAGGGTTGAAGAGTAGAAGGCCGGAGACAGCACAATTACTTCTTTTCTCTATAAATTATGTTAACATGTTATTCTATAAGGACAATAATGAAATGAAAATTTATATACAACAAAAAAAGAATCAAAACATTGTTCCTCACATTGTTAACATTTCTTTCTTCAGCCTCACAGCTTTCCCACACAAGGCTGACGCTAGCCGAGCTCGTCCTTTTGAAGCCTTTCAGATGAGCAATTGAGTCTTCGTTTTCGACCTTGTAACAAGAGCACATTGTGAGATCAAGACTTCCTTGACCCAAATCTAGCCTCTAGCATTTCAAGTTCTCATTTTCCGGGTCTGCACAGGTTTTTAAATCACATTGACCTTTTCAAGCGTCTCTTAATTTGACCTCCCAGTCCACGCCTTTCACCGTGACCTTCACGAAAGCAGAGCTCGCGAAGACTCATAGGATACTCATATACTGATATACGGAGATACTCGAATTTAATTTGGTCAATAGCTTTGCAAATCTAAGCATTGCGAAGTTTGCGCAAGCGGATTCTCAAAGTAGGAAGCACATTAGCACAAGTGCTTGCGGAAGAGAGATATTTCATTCGGAGAGCCGTAAGACCACGACAGAATAACGGCATAGGACCGAAGGTATTGGCAATATATCTGCAATACTAAAGCGGCAGAATGGGAATATACGAGAAAGATCCTATCTGGGATGATGTGGTACCAATAGCACAAGATGATGGTGAAGGCGCTTTAGCACAAATTGCATACACGGATGAATACGCAGAGGGTAAGATTGCTATCCTTCATTCTTTCTACATGACTCATGATATGTTTAGCAATGGGATACCTTCGCGCCGTAATGGCAAGCAAAGAATACTCACCTCGCGTTCTCGAACTCACTGAACACATCATTACCCTTAACGCAGCTCATTATACGGTCTGGCTTTACCGTGCCACAACTCTCTTTGCACTATCTTCCTCTGTAGCCGACGAACTCGCATTTGTAAACCAAATTGCGCTGGAAAATCAGAAAAATTATCAGATTTGGCACCATCGACAACTTCTCATCGATCACCTCTACCCCTCAATTTCATCCTCTCCTGCGTCGCTCAATGTGCTTGCAGATTCGGAACGAGATTTTCTGACACAGATGTTCGACGAAGATGCCAAAAATTATCATGTTTGGAGTTATAGACAATATTTGGTTTTGAAATTGGATATGTTTAACGAGGCGGAACTAAAGAGTGTAGAGGATCTAATAAGGAGAGATGTACGAAATAATAGTGCTTGGTCATATCGATTTTTCCTAGTTTTCTCGGACCCAAAATATTCGACCAAGGGATTGAAAGCAAATGAATTTGATGGCAAGATTCCAAAGGAGATTGTGGATAGAGAAATTGAATATGCGAAATCGGCGACATATGAAGCACCGCAGAATCAGAGTTCTTGGAATTATTTGAGGGGAGTTTTGAGGAAGGGGGGTGTGAAGAGTGAAAGTTTGGAGGAGTTTGCGGGGGACTTTGTTAAGCTTGGAGATGCAGATGGAAAAGGGGAAGATATAAGGAGTAGTCATGCATTAGACTTTCTGGCGGATGTCTGGGCAGAGAAGGGAGAATGGGAGAAGGCCGACAAAGCGCTTGAATTACTTGGTGATAAGTATGATAAGATTCGAAAGAATTATTGGGATTGGAGGAAGGGTTCATTCAAGGAGATGAAGGGATAGAGTGATGAGCATGGAACGACATAAATGATTGGTTATGGAATGGCGTTGAGGTGAAGAGCATGAGCGTATGTTTACTTCGTTTTCCCTTGCGTTGTTGCTTGGATGAGCATATACCAAGTTGCTCCCTTCTGTTGAATGAAGCTCGCATGAACGTACAATTGTCTCGTGGTGAACACATCAACTCCTGATGATCATTTCGATATTCCATCACACGACGTGAGCGATTCATTCACCGTGCCACATGCCAATAGTGACATTTCTGGGGCCCTTCCAAACAAAATCATCGTGTTCATTTCCACTTTCCTGACTCGTCCCTAACATCACCACAGGCGACAAGAAGATAAACTCAAATTTCCAGACCCATGGATAGTCGGTTCCACTGTCTGGAAAATCTCACTCCCAATCACCCAAATAAGTCAAAATCCCTCGCTCGTCACATACATCATCAATATAAAATATTAGATCGCCAAACCAAAAGGACAATAGCTCGAAAATAGCTCACCCCGCATTTGCGACACCTGCGCTATGCATAAAGCCATTACCCTATAAGTATCTCCACATTACCCTATAACTTTAAATCGCATGCCGTCCCGAGCTTCCCTTATCATTCCAATTACCCTATAACTTCGTGCGCGTATCATGATTACCCTATAGCTTCCCTTGGATTACCCTATAAGTATCCACGTGTATCTTTCTGAGAAAGTCCATTACCCTATAACTTGTTTTAGCGAGATAGCGCATCCCCGCTTATCGTCGGATTCCCCTTTAGTAGGCTGGAAAGTGTGCAGTGCCGAATCGAAGGCATGCGCAAGAAGCCATAGGGATCCTGGTTTGTTTCAGTACGGAGGGTGTTATCGAATGCTTGGGTTGGTGTGTCGGGTTATCATGCATGCATGCACACATATACGCCTTTAGCTCTACATGTTGGTGCTGGGAGCGAAAGTTCCCGATATTGATACGAAACTTCCGACATAGGAAATATGTTCCATCTTTGCGATATCCGTGCTTGCTTCTGCAGATGCTTCGAGGTGGATGGATTTTCGTGGGTTTGCGTGGAAATGGATTGGGTTGGATGCGAGAGGAATGAGCTAGCATGGATAAGATCTTACGATGTGAGTACTTAAGGTTTGTGAATGCACTCTTGCTTCAAACAAACATTTGGTTGGAACATTTGAGATTGGAGGTGATAAGATAGTTCTTCTACCAACATATTCGTTCAAAGAGAGTTTCCAGATACAATTCGAATACAGAAATATATACCGCATCATACAAAATGGGTTCAACAACTCCGATCACAAATGGAATGGGAGAGGGACATATATCAAAACCTTGGATTAAAACTCCATTGGTTAGATCGGCTGCTTTGTCAAGACATGCTGGATGGTGAGTTTCTAGAATGTTTTCGGCTTTTGTTGGAAGCATAAACTGATACGGAGATAGTAATGTGTGGCTTAAACTTGAGAATTTACGTATGTATTCGTCGATTTTGTTTCCAATGTCGAATATTGCGCAGCTCATCTTTCGTCTTTGCGACATGTCCTGATCATCTCCTTTCTTCTTTATTACCATGTTTCTCCTTTCGCTTTTCACCTTCTCTGTTCTATTCCATGGAATCTCAATCTCATCCATCGAAATAACTAACATAGTTCAGAACCATCTGGCTCCTTCAAATCCCGCGGCATAGGGAATCTCCTCATCCGTTCCCTTCCTCCCAATCCCCACACCCCCGTCCACTTCTACTGTTCCTCAGGCGGCAATGCCGGCCTCGCCTGCGCCCACGCGGCATTCTCTCTCAACCGTCCCTGTACCATCGTCGTTCCCATAACCACATCCTCACACATGATCTCCAAGATAAAACTACTAAAAGCCGAAGTTATCCAAACCGGAAACCACTGGAGCGAAGCTGATAGATACCTACGCGAAGAACTACTAGCCAACGATGCTAATGGTGTATATGTACCACCATTTGATCACCCCGATATCTGGGATGGACACAGTAGTGTGATCACTGAGATTGAAGAGGAGGTTCGTGGACTAGGCATCCACAGTTTGGATGCGGTGATTTGCAGCATTGGGGGAGGAGGATTATTCAATGGCATCATGAAGGGATTAGAGGATAGTGGAAGATTGGGATCGCACAGTGAAACGAAGGTTATAGGAGTGGAGACGACGGGAACGGCGAGTTTTCATGCGGCGATGAAGAGGGAAGAATTGGTCAGGTTAGATGGTATCGATAGTATTGCTACGTCGCTGGGTGCGACACAAGTAGCGGCGAAGTCTCTGGAGTGGGGACTAAAGTATAGGAAGAATGTGAGGAGTGTAGTTTTGGGGGATGCGGAGAGCGTGAGTGGTATGGTGTGGATGGCGGATGAGGAAAGAATTGTAAGTTTCATTAATTCATGGATTTCTTAGTTCCATTTACTAATTTTGACGCAGTTGGTTGAGAGTGCCTGCGGTGTCAGTGTAGCAGTGGCTATCAATGGCATGCTGAAAAAGATATTAGAGGAAGATGGGGAAAGCATGGAGGGAAAGAATGTGGTGATTGTGGTTTGCGGAGGAAGTAACATTTCACTGAAGACTTTGGGGGAATATAGGGAGAGATTTGGTGTATGAAAGCTTGGGGCATACTTTCATTATAGATCGAGGGGCGGAGTAACAATGCAGCGTTTGATTTAGAGGAGCCCTTTCTCATCTCAATTGAGGTTTACTTTAATATGAGTAACGAGGTCTTTGCATCTCCAGTATTGTTTAACACTTTCGCAATAAGGAGTGTCTCAACTTCTCATTTTATATTTAGGAGTTACGTGAACAGTTCTTGTGGGATAGAGTAAGTAATATGACTTGCATCAAAATATTCTTAGAATTATTGAACTGTCTAATTTCAATCTTTCCAGCTCCTTTGACCCTTCGCAGATTGAGTGGTTATTCGCGATACTCCTTTACTAGCGACTCAGTGACCGAGAATAATGTAAGCTACCTAGGTACTTATAGCTATTTCCTTGCAATGAATCTTGTGGCTAATACATGAATGTGTGCTATAGCTCAAAGCATGTCTCTAAACTTGGTCTTAACAATTCATCTCTAATTCATGTCAAGAATCCTCCACCACAGTGTATACCGTATCATAATAGATACTCCTTCTGCCTAGCTATGCATCATCCGCTATCGGACGATCTATCGTACTAACCCCATTGGATTTTTCTATATTCACCAAAACATCAGTAGGACCACCACCAATAAGATCTACTGTTCTACGCTTCGTTCTCCCACCAAATAAGCAGGTCCAAATATCGTTTTCCGAAACGGCTTCACCGTCATGCCCCTTGAAAAGAAGATTCCCGGGCACTGATTGCTGCATCTCTAGGCTATTGGCCTCTTCCAGAGCCTGTGCTACTAATTCCTCATCAGAAACCGCCCTCCCTTTGCCCTTTTTTGATATGGTTGCATGGCCTAGGTGCTCCAATCTTCTCTTAACAGATAACTCATAGATTGACTGATCAACAGTGTTGCCCATGACCATTACCCAAATATTGGTCTCAAACTTTTGTCCTATTCTATGAACTCTAGACTCCCCTTGGAGTGCGATTGCCGTGTTTAATAACGGTTCGCAAAAGAATATGTTACTAGCATTAACTAAAGTCAACCCAGCACTATGTGCTCGAGAATGTAAGAGGAAGACTTCTATGCCAGGATCATTTTTGAATTTCTCAACCCCGTTAGGTCTATCAATGGATGAATGACCAATGCGAAATGCATCAAATGCGCTAGCTAAAACCGGCAGGAACTCGGTAAACTGAGAAAATACGATTGACTTCGCGCCAGGATCTGTTTCTCTAAGGTAAAGAATGTGACGGGCTTTTTGAAGACTGTTAGTGGTGTTTATTCAGTGAGATCAAAATTTACATACCAAGAGTATCAATTTTGGTGCCAAATGATTTGTTGTCTTGTAACTCAATGCTTTTGATGGCGGAGAGAGTAGCTTTGCTGACATCTGAATAGATCGCAGATTTTTGAGGGGAGTTCAAGTTGACTGATCGTTCCTTCAACGGCTCTCGAATGCCGTCAGTTTCGGCGGTCAATGTTGGCTCATGTGGCTTGTAGCTAATATTGTGAAGCTCTTCATAAATCAGTATCTCTTTACAGATGGGGCATCTATGAGATACTTCAATAGGTCAGTAACATGTATGCGGCACTTGGAGGTGATTGCATTCTTACATTTCCACCATTCCCTGGCGCAATCGGAACAGTATTGATGACCGCAAACGGTCAAAACTCCAAGCTCGAATTCATCTCTGCAAACGACACACGTTCGCTTATCTTTGGGATTTTCGACCTCCTCTTTCAAATGGACTAGATATCTTCTCTTGGCTCTCAGCGAAGCTATGGTTTGAGTGAGCGCATGTTCTTTTCGTAGAAAAGACTGATTGACGCCATCATCATTGGGGCCTGTATATGGGGCCACCTGATTTGAAATTGCTTGTAATTGTTTGTAGTACTCTACTCGAAGATTCATGCACTTTGTGAACTGCCCGATTTCCTTCTCTAGATTCGCGGTTGCTTTTGTTTGATCTGTGAGATAGTTGTGGGTCAATTTCAGTTGACCTTCGACGATCGAGAGTTCATTTTGGGAATGATTTGCCTTGAGCTTGGATATTAGCGTCTGGAGTTCTGATAAAGTCCCTCTCACACTGACGCCCTTGTGCAGAAATAGGCCTCTTATGTCAAATAGCACGAGTAGCTTTTCTGGAAAGGGACCTTTGCCATGTTTCGCCTCCCGGAAAGCGGTTTTGGCTTCTTCATTGACTAGAAAATTTTGCACGCCGGACAACGAGGCCTGTCGATCGGCAATCATTGTCCGCAATGCTTGCACATATACCACGACTTCTTCCTGTACTTTTATGGAATTCTCATACTCATCCCCATTGATGGCAATGCCTTCGTCATCGTTGTCGACTAATGGACTCAACAAGATCTTGATGAGGTGGTTTCGCCATTCGTTAATTTGATGTGCTTGTCTATCCAAACTAGTTCCAAGCTTTTCGAATCTAGTCATTGATAGTTAGTTAGTATGTAGGTACAACGGGTAATGATATGAGAAAATGTATCTGAAAATATAAACTGAATAGAGATATAAATATCCACAGCTTACTCTTCCATAATCCGGCGGCTTTCGGGACCCCCTCTGAGAGTACTAGGCACGAACTGAGGCAAATGAACAGCTGCACTAGATTCTGTATCTTTTCTAATTGCGGTCATCATGTTATCCGTCCTCTTGAAGGCCTATAATGTGTTAGCCCAGATATCTTCAGGATGTGGGACGACAAGCATCCGATCTGAATTGTGCAATCAATTCTTCGCAATGAATCAAGGAATCAAAATCGTGAAATAGTTAGAACTATATTTCATAGCAGTGTAAATGTGTGCTAGTGCAATACAGAACGTACATCTTGTAGTATTTCACGCCGCAACTCCTTAGCCTCTTCGTAGCCCTGTCTCTCGAGCATATCGAGGTTTTTAAACTCGGCGGAATTAACTGCTGTCATTTCCTCGTTTGACTTTATCTGGAAGTAAGCATTTGATAGGAAGAATAAACCCATGTGATGAAGCTCCAAGGCGGCTCTCAATCTTGCTCGACTCATCACAACGCGTGAAGCAGGATCTGATCTGTATGAGGGCGTGTTAGAGCATTCTAAGGGCGATGAAAGAGGTCCTCACCCATCTTGTCCTTCAATACATTTCTCACCAATGCCTTCAATGCTCTGGATTTTGCTCGGAGCAATTGTTTTTTGAGTTTCTGCTATCATCGCATCTGAACTACTGTCTGAATGAAATGCCAGTCTCGCGTTCTCCGACGATATCTCGGTGGATAATTCATCCCGAGCTTGATTTACAAACGTGGAGGAGAGCGTGACGCATTCTTTCCAGATATCCAGAGCCTCTTGAACGCGAGGGGAGTCTTCGTATAATTGGCCCCTCTTCAATTGAGAAAGAAGAAGTGATCGAGAATTTGCTCTAATAGCAACATCTGTTTGCGAAAACATAAGTTCAAGAGCCTTACCTGATCATGATATTAGTCTTTACCATGGAGTACCCCGTTATATGAGATCTGACTTACTCGCAGTTTGAACCATTGGTTCATCTCCGATTTTCTTTCGCTTTGTGCCTCGTTTGGGAGGAAGTGCATTAGTGGCCTGCCTCAATCGTACAAGCCATCGTCTCATAACCTCAGCATAGTCTTTTGGATCCCAGCCATCCATGAGAGGCTCGCCCTCGGTGTCCAGTCCAGATTCTTCACACATCTTGCCAAACATTTCTTGGTAAAACTGCTCTTCAATTGGGTTGAAAGAAATAGTAATTACGAAGCGGTGTTGTTTGGGTAAGATAAGCTCTCCGCGAACACTTTGCTTTGAGTGACGCAAACTGATAGCCTCGAAAAGCTTGTGGAAATCTTGCTTGGAGTTTATAAGCGATCGCCACACCGAGACTAAGAGCTCATATTTCAAGAAAATGAGTAATCCTAGTAAGTCATTGATGTTTTTCCTAACCTAAATTGCAGTCAATATATTTCAGCTCCGTCGATGAATAAAAAGTGCTCCAGTCTCCACTACAACTCTTCATTATCTCTTCATGATTAAAGAGCTCTTCCATATGCAAAACCAGTTCGATACATTGAGTCCACTGGAAAGGTAGTATCTATACAAGTATCAAGCAAGTCCCACATTGCCTCCCAAACAAAATGCAATGGATGTCTCATAGGGCTTGAAACCCAAAAAATACTCCGAACAATGAACTTTGGACAGTGATCCAGATAAGTTCTACATTTAAATATATAAAAAGATATGAAAATACATACTGGAGTGCCTGTGATCGCCCAGGCATTAATTCGAGGTATCATCCTTGCGACGGTTGCGGCTTTACTAACACCACTTTCAACCATTTGCGCTTCATCAAGACATACACGCCACCAAGAAAACTTCATTAAAGGTGATTTGGGCCTCTGATATTTTGACTCGCTGCGCAGCGTCGTCCTCTCCGGATTGAGACTGGTGAAATGTATCTCTGATGCAAGTATAGAGTACGTGGTGATTACTATATCAGAGGTGGCAAAATCTTTCATTGTGGTTTCATATTGAAGTGTCCGGCTCTTGATACCTTCATAATACGTAACCTTGAGATTTGGCGCATGGGTCTTTATCTCACCAATCCATTGTTCTATATATAATCAATAAATAATATCATCGGCACCCGATATTGATTCAGAACTTACTTGAAATCGAAGGCGGTGATATTATTAGAGTGGCATGTGTTGTCTGCAAAGTCTCTCCAGAAAAGGGATCGATAACCGACGGGTCTTGATCAGGACGGGTGTGAAGTGTCATCAGGGCAATCATTTCTACAGTCTTACCTAGGCCCATCTCTTCTGCGAGAATGCCGCCTTTGATATCTTGGTCCATCCAAAAGAATGGAGTAAGATCAAAGGTGACTATTGCGAATAAATGACTAACATAGCAAGAACGCCCTTGTACGTCTGTTGCGGCGAAGAAAGAAGGCGGTATTCGGCCTATTGCCTCGGACTGAGTTGTCTCAATACATCCAGCAGCGCGAGACCACTCAGAACCTTCCCTACGAAGCATCCATTGAACGGCCCGCTTTTGGAACGGATAGAGGGTTGATTCTAATCCCGGTGTTTCGATCGAGGCAGCTGTTTCATCAACCGGATCTGGAGAGTGTGCAGATTGATAAAAGTCCTGCGCAGAGAGCGGTTCCAAGCTTGTGCTATTTGGATTGGGAAAGTAAGTGTTTAATACCTTCAACAGAGCATCCGTCTTTTTGGGCTGGATCGATTTTCGATTAGTTGTAATCTCCCATTTAATAGTAAAATCAATTCGAATATAATCTGAGTCACCCATTTTGTACACACTTATTCCGGCCTCTGTCCACAACTTACTTGATTGTTGGGCACGCTTTTTGGAGTCTCGATCAACCATCAGACAAATGAGTACGTCATCGAAGGAATTTTGAATGCCCATCGACGTATTTTCAAGTGATAATGGTATGGTAAGCAAGGAGTTATGATTATCATCTCGAAGGATGATATTAGATGGCTCGGGGTTGCTACCATGGCGGCCCCAGTGGCTAGTAAAACGAATCTTTTGCCTATTCAAGGTGGTGAAGTCTAGCGACAACTTTGATCGAAGACATCTGGCTATCAGCGAAGCTTGTTTGACTGTGATGTAATCCTGGAAAACACCGTCGTTCGATAATTCTAATTTCGATCCTGTTGTTAGTTTTTGACGCTTCCGTAGGGGTTCTTCTGGCGTATTCTATAGTATGGAGTTAGTACTTCTAAAAGTTACGAGAAGCTTCAAAGTTCTGCTGCCAAGAAGTTCGAACGTAATCCATGAAACACAAATAATAAACCATAACAGTTACCTGATCTGTGGTAAGATAATTGATCAATGCATCCGTACTTTCGGTAACAAAGACATACGGAGCCTTCTCAAGAGGATCGTTATCTTTTGCATCATTCGTTCTTTGTGACTCCTGTGCAAAGATAGAATCACCAGGAGTAATTGCAAAACCCTTTCTCCGCTCAGGTTTGACTGGGGCCATTATATCAAACTTCTGAATCAGGCTTTTCGACACTAAACGACCTGTACACTTCTAGGCCGCACATAGGCTTCCATGTACATATGAGAAAGTCTACTTTTACCGCGTTCAACGGGTTTAAAGATAGGTGTGTTTAATGGATTGCCAACAATGGATGTTTTGTTGTTTTGACAGACTGTTGGATGATGAAAGATGAATGGCAGATGGATGAATTCGAAATTTCAGTTTATGTGACTGTAGTGCTTGACTGACTGCAGTCACGTCTGCACGAACGTAAGAGGTTTGCACCGACAGTAGCGAGCATGTACTGCGATAACAGATAAGAGAATATCCACACACCCACCTCCAGACTACTATCGGGAATACTTTATTCCGGATACGTCACATGATCTTCAATTTTTCGAATAAACGCTAAGGTTAAAATCGAATTGAGAGGTAGGTAGTTTGGAGGATTCCCAGAAATAGATAGGTACAGCCTTCTTACGGTTGACACGCAAGTTGACTTACATTGACGCCATAAGTTGACATAAAATCTATGCACCCTTCGGTATCTACACTTTGATCTGCGGGAATCCTTTTTGATATAGGTATATCATTCCTGCTGTACGTTCAATGAATCCTCAGTTCCACTTTCTGGACGATTAGTCCTGCTGTGCGAAACATAGCCATATTGACTTCCTCTATAGAATCTGCCCATCATGATCCTTAAGCCTTACCAGCTACGACCAATTCCCTCATTTCTTCTCCCTTTTACGGATGCAACCACTTGCAATCAAGTACGAAGCCTACATTATCGCATGAAGGCACCGCCTGTACCCCGTCCCACACCATTTGTACCAGATGCTCAAACGTTTCTCACACTCATTGGACGAAATTTGAGCCAGCACGCATCGAAAATTCCTTCATGGAAAGCATTGTTTACATTGACCTCTGATCAACTACGAGAGCTGGGCGTTGAGCCTCCACGGAGTCGACGCTACCTCCTACGCTGGCGCGAGAAATTTAGAAAAGGGCAATATGGCATTGGTGGAGATCTACAACACATCGAAAATGGAATTGCAGAGTTGCGTGTAGTTGAAGTGCCGTCATCAGACCCGAGACATAGTACAGCTACCGCAACATCGTCACCGGGGCATCAAAAAATAGTGGTCAATGTACCCACAGGAGGCAGTGCAGAGGAAAGTCTCGCTGGGCAGATGGTTCCAGTTCAGGGTTTACGTATCAAAGGAGCACACACTATTATTGGACCTCATGTACAACCTTCCAAAGGAGGGCAAGCGGCGAAAATTGTCGTTAAAGAAGGATTGTGGGAAGATCGTAGAGGCCACAAGATTGATGGAGGCGAAAGGAGACAGGCCGAAGTTCGAGCAAAGAGGAGAGGAGAGGAGAAACGTGCAGCCAGATAAACATTGAGTAAATTATCAATCTTGTCGTTCATGTAAGATTATGTTAGAGGCTGTGTATGGATTCACGAGGAGGAGGTGGCTCTGCTGTGATAGTTCTGGGATCTTCATCCACAGGTCATGGCCTTCTAGAAGATATCACTCGCAAGGCTGCAGATCAGCCAAACATATTGAAGTTATATTTCAACTCGAAATCCTGAACTGCGATTGGTGGTTTACACGGGTGAGGTCGGCACTAGGGCCACGTGAGATTACAGTTTCGCGGCGTAGACGTCAAGTTAACGCCATTCCCGTCCGCCTTTGGCCGAAATACCTCAATTGCTACAGATTTCCCTCGACGTTTTTCCGTACGCTAACCTTGATCAAGATTTCTCGGAAATCTAGCGATTGCTGTACGGGATCGGGATACATGGTTTCTTATTTCATGATTCCCCGGACGCAGCCCTCGTAAGCTTGCTCGTGCTCCCTCCCTCGTACTCCTCCCATTGTAGCAATTGCGCTAAATGTACCCGATGCCACATCTTTAGTGAAATTTGCCCTCCGGCTTCAAGTATTCAGAATGCTTTCTCTTTTGTATACGATAAATGGAGGTGTACTGGTTGATATTATGGTTGTGGATGACGCCAGGGCCTGGCTGTGCTGGGAAATTTCCTGCAAAGCCGGAGGATCTTTCCTCCAGATTACTATCTCGCTAGATAGTCTTACTTGCACAACCCACGCCGATAGTCTATCCCATAAATTATGTACGCACAACCCACTTGCAATCATTAGAAAGAACGCATTGTAGGTCAGCAATTAGTTAGAATCTAGATTGGACTAATCCAGCGGCCGGAAATCGCGTCAGAGATCTTTGGAATGCCTGAAAACCATAAGAAGCAATATAAAAATCGATTCAGGCAGCTCAAGCTGGCCAATCCCATCCATACTCATCTAGCAAAAGGTCGTTCATTTCGCGCAGGAGCGAAGGCAAATGTGTACCAATCTGTGCCTCTTTGGCACAGCAAGGCTCTTTGATATGTTCTCGTCTGATGTTGTTCTCGTTCTCCATACTAATTGAGCGAATAGTGGCACCTCAGATTGGATACTAACAAGCATTTCCATAACGACATCGTTTAGTCATTTACGGGTCCCGAGTCAAATAGTCGATATGGTAATGGATGTGTGCGTCATCTCATTTCAGAACAAGTGACCAGAATTGTAAGTGTCCTTACGGCGCAATGCATTCAAGAACGTCTAGGAGTGTAGCTGAGGTCTGTATACGATGATGTCCTTTGAAAGTAGAAAATTTGACGAGTTCGGTGAACTGATTCGTGATGTGTCGCCGGCATTCTCAGACTACTAACCTCAGGAAAGGATACCTAGATGGTACATTTACAAAATAAGTGTACTTGATATACTGACCGTACCTAGATGAGTCTATTTATTGATCATAAAGTTTTTTTTCTACATGGGACTTGTCTGCCTGATCTCCCATCAAATTGATCCCTTGTCCAGCCTAGCCAAGTGTAAACGAGCCTATGCAGGCAGGAACCGAATCTCTGCCTGAACATCTTCGAAAACAATGGATACTCGCTACCATTTCCACAAGTGGACTTCCAATTATCCTCTTCTTCTCGGCATTCATAGCGAAAACAAAAACCACAAATTTTTGTTTATTCAAGCTCAACCATAGAATTTGGATTTAGAACGGTCGAAAACGGCAATGCCGCGAAGAAGGATTCCTGTCAATTCCTCCCCATCTTCCTCTGAGAATGGATGGCCCCCACCACACCGGAAGGCCATTATCTCATCGATTTGAAGCTCCACTATCAATATGATCCTAGATTCATCATCCTCCCTATCTCGTTTCGTATTTCCCATCTCGTCCCATACCTGGAGGAGTTTCTCTATACAAGGTCACATGTACACTTAGTCCAATCACTGGATCAGGTTGTAGTCCAATTCAGGCGAGGCTGCCTTAGAGGAACGGGGACCTTCTCGATAGTTCGTTCAGTCATATCCTACTCTTATCCACCTATAGTCAGTCACGTTTTCGTGGTGGTCATATCTATGATCCGTCTGGAGGCAGTGCTTCTACTTGACGTTTCATCCACTCTTGGTCTGCTTTTTTTCTCGCAGTATGCTTATAGAGATCTTTGTATATCTGTTGATATCCAAAGGCGATCATCAAATCTGCCCTCTGCGCCGCTGTATGGTTTCTATAAAGTAGGGAGTTTTCTTTTACCAAAAAAACTATCAGCTCATTATCACTATCATTCATCCTTTCATGATATCAAGCAAGCTATAGCATTCTTATCTACGTCGTCACTCATTGCTCTACGTTTCACGCGTCTCAAGCACTGCATATATCTTTTAAGCAAATTCAAACAGAGCGGTCGTCATTCTGATCATATTATCCTCGAAGTCTAGTGGTAGGATATCTCAACGAAAGTATCAGGTTCCGCTGTTGATGTCAGTATTCTATTTTCTGTCCACTCAGCCAGTTTCTGAACATTGAAAGGGCAGACGCCTTTAAGTCAGAGCATCTCGAAACTTCCATAGAACGGGAAGAAGCATCCGAAGCTCGTTGCATTATAATTGAGGATCCTGACTGCAATCAAATCATCAAGTTAGAGTCAATTCTCGAACCAATATCTGAGACAGAACCCGAAATGTCTTCTTCCCATCGATCTTCATCTGGCAAGGGGAAAAGCTCCTCTTCTGGGAAGTCAAAGCCAAAGCAAGACGATTGGTCTGGTATCACAGATCCGGAAGAGCGAAGAAGGGTGCAGAACAGGTTAGCGCAGAGGAAGTTTCGTAAGTTATCACCGTATCACTCAAGCTTCAGCAATTTACTAATCCTTTATAGGTGATAAGACCAAGGCGGACAAAGAGCGTCAAGACCGAGAAGATGAGAATCGTGCTCACGCGGGCCATTCCTATCACACAGCTGACTCAAATGATGTATACTATGACACTGCCGATGCCGGCGGCTCTCCATGGGGTTCCGTCTCTATGAAGCATGTTGTTTCGAAAGGTAGAGCTCAAGAGGATGCATCTAGACACGGGTCTCGGCCAGACGACGAGGCAAGCTATTATGAAAACCCTGATGCAACTTATGAAGGGGAAGGTTATTACAGAGGAGAAACAACTTCCTATGAGGATGATCAAGCCTATTACGATTATGGGAGCGCAGCTGGCAGCGGTAGCGGAACTTCAGGTTATTGATCAAACCAATATGACTCACCTGGTCATCGGGTAAAAGCGAGGACGGCGTGCGACCCGGAACGACCTGATTACATTTCACGGCCTCGAGAAACTTTTCCAGGCTGCTCTTATACCCTGGCTTACACGCTGTATTACACTTTTAGGTCTTTTCTATTTATTCTCGACTTTCGTTTAAGAATTCATTTTTATCAATACACACGGTGGACAAGCAACAAAAAGGAGGATAGATTTAACGACACCACACCATACCCTGATATACTTGCGCATTTTCTTACTACTTTCATTTCATTTAAATTTCAGCCTTTTTCTTTCGGGCAAAAATCAATTGATGCCTGTTCTCATGTAATACTAGATTTTCTATGTTCTATGGTGCTTACTTTTGTGTGGCTCCAATATATGGAGTTGAATTTGTGAATTCAGCTCACTTTGTACTTTTAAACTTCTATAGAGATTTCCTCCAATGCAAAAACCTTAACATAAGCCTTTGAAAAAACATGGAATTTGTGAGATTATAGGCGTCTGGTAATACCGCACTCGCTAACCCCTGATGAAGCCAGTGCATGGTTGTCTCATGGATGCTAATCATGAATGTTAATGTATGTAACCATTAGCAAGCTAGTACTTAACGGTATAATTACCACCCTGCGGGACCTGTAAAGTTCCCACAATGACAAGGAAATTCGCAATGAGCACGACCGATAGAAAGGAGGGTATGGTCGTTAAAATCTGTCAAGTCATTCTTCATCAGGATTGGTGAGGGGAAATAAACGTCCGAGGCTGTGCTTTTGCGAGGTTCTTATGCCGTGCTACTAGATATGACAGGTTCTGTTGCCCATCTCACTCAGCCTAAATTTTAAAGTCGATAAGCATTCCAGATAGGAAAACAAACGAGATGAGAGCTTAACGGCAGTTCTCGTATAGTTCGTGTGGAGAACGGATATGCCTTGAATGCGATCCTTAGGAAGCGGATTGATGTATTTTAGACGACTGAGACAGGGGATAGATGGTGGAAGGAAGATTCGGAGTGGCGAAATAGAGAACATTTCAAACGTTTTGGGATTGGTATTTCTGCTTTTCTAGGATACCGGCTAACGAGAGGATTCATTAACCTTATGTCCAGATTTGGGACGCGTTTGATGGATGATGAATGGTAAGGCGTGTAAGTGGTACTCTAACGCCAGATTGTGGTAGGTGCATAGGATGCCGGGGAGGTACTAGGTGGTTAGTTCGATCAAATGCCAGATCATCTGCAGAGTCCAGACAGCAGTCGTAACAAAGTTTCAGCTGATGCTCCATGCTCCCATCGTAAAGGATCACTGGGTATGTAAGATATGGGCGATGCGTACTAGGCGGGGCCGGGTCTGTTATATTCCTTTCAGTTGGTAGCGAGGGGACTACGTGCGTAAGGTGAGTAATAGTGATTAATTAGTAAGTAGCCTCGTAGCCCCGTAGCCCAAGAAGAGACTGAGATATCAATAGTATATTTGGTACGGATTAATGCAGATCAAGATATTTCTAGATTGACGTGGAATAGAATGGAACAAGTATTCAATCCTGTGACTGTGAAACACTTGACACCTTGGCTATAGTTGAAAAGATTCTGCCTATATTGAATGCTCTGTTGCTTTGTACTCTAGATTATGCACAGTTAGTTGTCCGTACCTACTTAGCTATGATATTCGCCTTTTTCTCCATTTGATAAGGGGAGCTGGACTGCCACGTGACTAAGAAGCAAGCTAGATCGTCGTATCAGAGCTCATACGGTGATCCACAAGGATCATAGATGCGTGAAACTACGTATTCTCAACACTCTAGTACTGGTCCACCATAGTAACTACTGATAATTCACAGCTAATGACCTAAGAAGAATAAAGCTACCTGGTGTACCTACCATCTCAAGTCAAAATGTAGAATCCAAAGCAAGTATAGAAGTTCGAAGCTTCAATTTCCATCAAACAACATCGGTCAATTCCAACTATCCTTTATCTTTTATCAATTTGCAATTGAAACCATTTTTATCAATATTCCATTTTAATTCACCAAATTTCAATTCGAATATTAATTTCAATAATAATTTAAATCCAAAGGGATTTCAATTCCAACGTCTATTTTTTTATCGATACAATTGCTTTTGCTTCTGCTTCTGCTTTTGCTTTGACTTTGACTTTGATCACCTAGGTACTTCTCCTGTGCCATTCGGTCCTATGCAGTAGCGACGGAAAATGGCAGATTCACAAGATCCAGTCGTCACTGTCGCTTCCGACAAGGAAGATGTATCACCAACTCGTTCAAACCCAAAAGCCTCGCCCTCAAAAAATGTTACTACTAATACCGACTCTCCCCAAAACCCTCCACCAACAACGACAAAACTAACAAACGATATAACGACGGAAGACGAAGAACGCAGAACACCCGTCCCAGATATCAATTTAACCACGCCTGCTGGCAATACGTCGTCGCGTTCACGTAATAAATCGGGAAAAGATCAAGGCTCTACTATGCAAGGAAATCTTGGACCTCAGAATAATAAGGTTCGTCATCTGAAAAAGGATGACGGGGAGCCTCTATGGAGAAAGGACATCCAATACGATTTTCTGAAGCTCATCTTTGAGGACGACAACGCCGTGTTTACAAACGGTTACGATGATACCCTACCGAAACAAACTTTCGCGGACCTCTATATCGATACGATGGCCAGGAGTAGTAAGACGAGTAAGATCTTGAGGGACAAATTACTGAGCGAGCATGAGCCAGCAAAGAACATGGCAATGGTGTGCCTTTTGGTTAATCTTGGTCGCATGAATACCACTTTGAATTGTGAGTAATTGTCTTCCTGGTTTTTTCGCATATATTGATAAAGTTTTAGTCTTTCCAGAGATGCGAGCACAACTTCGTACCTATCATGCCATTCCATCTCTGCAAGCTCGACAAGACCCAAACTCTTACAAGCAGCTTCAAGATGCGCCTCGGCTCAAATCTATACTGAAGGGTGCATCTGAGGATCGTCCCGAACCTGGTACATTGGAAAAGATCAAATCAACACCGATCCCTCGAACGAACCCAGTCAACCTTATCTTCGTTCTTACTAACCATGCCACGAAGGTTACGGAATTACATTTTCCTACAACCCGTGAATTTTATGATCTCATCATGAACACTCAAATCACCAGCAAGTCAAGAGCAAAGGCGTTCTTATGGTTGATGTGGTTCTATCTCGAGTCGGATTTCACGGAAGAAGGGGCAGATGAGAATCCATTTGGGTCTGGCGTAGATTATGATACCGACGTCAGAAATCAAGGTGTTCCACGATTACAGGATATGACACAAGAAGAAGAACTATTGGAGAACGTTGACACAGAAGAAGAGCTAGAGTATGGTCATACTAAAATGCGCGAACGCAAACGTATCATTGAAGCAGACCAAATCGCTTTCCAAGCAGAAAATGGTCCTCCAAAACGTGGTCCTAAGCCGAAGCTCAACCTACCCCTCGATGAGGGTTCCAATTCATCTACTATTATGAGTCGTGTTCGGCCCCGTTATGATGATGTGGTTGGAACTCCAGCTGGTTTGATTAGTAAGATTCGCCCCAGACACGACTCCGATCTTGACAGCACACGCTCAACCCCGCCCCCTCGAGCCTTTAGTTCCAGCAACATGCGTATTAACAGTGTTCTTAATGCAGGCTCCAGGTATCGAGGCGGAAAGAATGGTGAAGGTTCATCTCCAGCGCCAGAGGTGCCAGCTACTCTTTCCAGGCGACATCGACCGCTCACCGCACATCAAATCGCAGTAGAGCGGAACAGAAACCAACGAGTCGATTATATTCTAAGTCGTGGCATTAGAAAGGCACACCACTCGGCGAGAAAGTTGCGTAAGCAGCAAGGCGTTTTCGCTCGCGCATACCAGAGGGTGAGCGCAATGTCAGATCCATTCAGCGACAGTGAGGATGAAACCTATCACAGGAATCCTTACCCATTTAAAGAACGTGGATTTGGTGGTCTAGTTCAACTCGAAGCTGAAGAGGACGATTTTGGAGAAGAAGTATCAGCGTATGCAGCTGCTTTCCGACGCGTCGGGAGAAGACTTGATCGTTGGGATGGTCAGAAGGGCTTGAATCTTGGAGTTATTGGCACCAACCGCATCTTGACAAGCAATGGCATCAATGGTCATCGCGCACGAGATAGCGATGAAACCGAAGACGAGCCAGACGAGCCAGTCATTCATAACCCCAAGCGCCAGGCAAATGGACATGTTACCGTACAAGCAGGAGGGGATGATGACCTTGACGATATGGATAAGGAGCTTCTGGGTTTGGTATCTGACGATGACGAGGATGGTCTTGATCCGATGGAAAAATCTTTGTTGGGAATTGGTGGCGACGAAACCGAGATAGAAGCGAGCGACACGGAAATGGATGTGGATTAGCTAAACTTGTATTGATATGGCAGGGTAGGGTATTAAAGGGTATGGGAATAGCTCGATAGGCTTGTCGAAAGAGGCGTTTTTGGGAGACAAATAATTGCTGGCGTCATTATCAAGGTATGAAGTGAAAATGACTTTATAACCTGTCGAGACATATTTGATAGAGGGAGGAAGGGATTGATTGAGCAAGATGAGATAGCGATCTATGTATAACAAATTAGTCTTAGGTACCTATTCTTAGCAGCCAAGGAAATCTATAGTTGCATGATTTTACTAAAGAATTTGAGACGTTTAAAGTGTTAATATCTGTGTTGAGGATGCTGGAGAGTTTGGCTATATTATTAGATATGGCCACCAAATATGCAAGTTAGGTATAATACTTATGAGGTACCTATCCATGTCGTACTAAATACTGTTTCCAAGAGACTGTAATTGGTAAGAGACAGTTGATTCAATTGTGACATCGGCACAAGTAGGCTCGGTAGGTAGGCAATGTTACTTTACTGTACTGAGTGCCTACTAGGTAGCTAGTACATAGTTTATTTTTAGAGGGATCCATTGTTCCGCGGTGCAAATGC